TTCATTTTTCCAAGCCTAAAAATATAGGTTCTCTGTAAAACCTATAGAGCTTCACGATTTTCGAAGTTTTCGAGGTTCTAGCAATATGTTTTAGTATTCACAAAGCATATCAGGATTTAGAGACCTTTTTAATGCGGTGCGAAGCACAGCATTTATGTAGTCCGTCGCGAGTTTACTTTTTTAATGCGGTGCGAAGCACAGCATTTATGTAGTCCGTCGCGAGTTTACTTTTTTTTTTTTTTTTTCTTTTACTTTCTCGACGTACGCACATAAAATCGTCGTTTTGTGTCGCCATGATCTCGAGAACCGAAAATCACAAATTACTTGTTCAAACGCAAGGGTAAAGTATCGAGATTGAACTGCTCAAATATTTTTTCCAATCTTCTATCGGATATTCGGTTCGGACAAAAAAATCCTTCCAAAAACACGATTTTGAAAAGATTTATCTAATAGATAATTAAAACAAAAACATAAAGAAAAGTTAGGCGCCATTCGTTACGTTGAAATGCAAGACAGCTGACAATACAGCTGATTATAGATAATGAATCATTGAGATAATTAATTCTTCAATAAACAAAAGTTTCTAGAAGTCTGTCGATACGTTTTAGTAGAGTTTCTCTAGCGATCAATTTCATAATGGATACCTTTAATCTCATATCTAGGTTAGATCAGCTGTTCGATAAAAATTTCTTTTTAATCGCTTATCCCTAATTCAGAAAAACTTCAATTAGCTTTGAACCTTGACGTAGAATGCGAGAAGCAATTCCTACAATATTTAGACGGTTTATCCGATTTCGATTCGAAATTCGTGTCTCGAATTCTCGATGCGTGTGCTTCGCACCGCATTTCGTATTCGAAGCGAAGCTCGAATATCATCTAGTTTTCTTTCTTTTTTCCTTACTTGACGTACGCATCTTCTCTCGGCATTTTCTGGCACGATGATCTCGACAACCAGAAATCACAAAATAATCGTTGAAACGCGTTTTGATAGTATAATGATCGGACGGATAACATCTTTTTTCCAAAGTTTCATTGGACCTTCAGTTCGCCCCAAAATATCGTTCCAAAAACACGATTTTGACAAAATGTTGCATTGAGATAATTAAAACGAAAAGTGAAAGAGAAGTTAGGCGCCATTTTTTTTTCTCTTCCAATATAAGACAGCTATGATACAGCTGATTATAGATAATGAATCATTGAGATAATTAATCGATCAATAAACAACAGTTTCTAGAAGTCTATCGATACGCTTTGTTAGAGTTTCTGTAGTGATGAATTCTATAACGGATGACTTCCATGTCGGATCTAGGATACATCAGCTGATCGATAAAAATGTTTTTTTATTGATTATGCCTAACTCAGAAACATCTTCAAATTATCTTTAAACTTTGACGTAGAATGTGAGAACGAATTCCGATGATATTTAGAGCGATTATTGAATTTCGATTCGAAATTCGTTTTTTCGAAGATTCGAGAGATTCGTGCTTCTCACCGCATTTCGTATTCGAGTCGAAACTCGAATACCATCTAGTTATTATAATCGCTGCATTGATTGACAAATAAGTGTGTTTTACAAATCTATAATATCTACAGCAGATCTTACACACTATCATATATACTAATCAAGTCGCAAATAATGATGTTCATTATTTTTCAAAATTATAACTTGATCAATTTTCCAAAAAAGTTCTAGAAAATCTAACATTTTTTATGCTGGATTGCTAAGGTCTGTAATGGGGGCCTGTCTGTAAGGGGATGGGGGTGAGGGGAGGGGGGAGCCGCAAAAACTTAACCTTAAAACTTACACTCACTCTTTTCTTCGAAAATATATGTGAGTTCCACAAAAGATGTTGACGGAATGCAGTAAAATCTTTGTTTGTCTTGTTTTGTGCTGTTTTACTGCATGTGAAAACAGTTGCTTTTTGATTAAGAAATGTTTTTCCGAATTAGAGAATTTTCTACGTTTTCTTTTCTTACAAATGATTTTGTTAGAAACTGGGACGATTTCTAGATAGAAGAAGGGTTAGTGCAAATGGAATTACCCTTGATTTGGCTTCTTCATATCACAAATCACATCATTCTCAAACAAAGCATATGCTTATATACTCAAGCATCAAAACTAAGCAATTATAACAATATAATAGTGTGAAATATAATACTTCAAAATAAGGACAAAACTTAGAGTAAGAGTAAAGTGCATGGTAAGAACAAAATACACGATAAAGACAAAATAGTAGGCAAGCCTAACCGTCATCGTTACAGAAACTTCCTAGAAAAATTCTTGAATAAGACAGTAAAAGGCCACTTTATTCTTTATACGTTAGACGTTATTTACAGCGTTTTTTAAATAACATTGAGAGATTATTTTTGTTCTTTTTATAGATTAACAAGAAGCTAACTATGAATAATATTTGGTTTTATCGACAAACCAATGACTACTGAAGTATTTTAGTAGGAAATGGTATATTTTGTCAAAAATTTCAAGTCAACAAAATACGCAGTGCAAACAAAGAAGAAAAAAAGTAGCCTTTGTCAAAATTAGTATGAACGAGAAAATGAAAAGTAAACAAGAATGTGACGGCGACGGGGGCTATAGAGGTAGCTCCTGCTATGCTCATTTACTCAAAAAAATTTTCCTTTTTTTAACAAAGACTATTCTTTTTGTAAGAAAAAAAATCATAGAATGAAAAAAATTTTTGCGGCCCCTCCGTTTTCTCTTCGACATATCCTTTAAAACAAAGACAATCTTAATTGTTTTTTGTATATTCTCTTTTCTTTTTTTTTCAGTTTTATAATATCAGCTATAAAATTTTGAGGGAACGTAGGAGATATTTAAGACAGTTGTTGTGGGAACGTCAAGGATAATCCAATTTACATGAAGCAGCGTTAAAGTTTGATTTTTTATCTTTTTCATATCCATTTGAAAAGTCATCACCCACATAGGGTGATCCAAAAGTTACCGGAACTTCGGTATATCTATTTAGGAAAACGACGTTTCATTCATTTTTCTGCACCATATATTCGAGGTAGCTGCTATGATATTCCATGGACGATTTCGTCCTTTTAACTCACCATTGGGATATCCTTTCGAAGTAAACAATAGGTATTGAATTGATGACCTTCGTTATTGCTTGAATTTCGATAATTTTTTGAGTCCTCAAAAGTTTGGAGAATTTTCTAAATGGTGAACAGTTTTCATGTGATATCATTAGGGGTTGTCAGACATTGATGTGCCATCGCAATATTGGATGAGAATCATTATCGAAACTTAGGTCAACAAGAGAAACTAGTTCTCCAAGAGACATTTATTGTTAAGGCTATCAAAAACAATGCTATATGTCAACCATATAATGGCATTCGAATTATTATTTGACATCTAGTGGTTCCTGTAGAGGCTAGTAATTCTATCTATATTGGTGGTTAATGTTTAAATTGACAAATAAAAAAGTAATCGAACAGAAACGTATATTCATGGTCTAGTTCGATTAGTTTCCATCATGGTTTGTTTTGAGCAACATGTAAAATAATGCCATTATTTACTCAAAAGTGAGAGAAATAAAGATAAGACACGCCAAGCGTATTCATCTTAGACTAGGCTTCCAGGATCTTTGTCGTTGGGATATTTTCAAGATAGACTAGATAATCAGCAGCTACAACAATTTAGCAAGGGTTACAACCAAGGATTACAAGTATGAAATTTTCCATGAAATATCACAATAACTACCTTGAATATATGATGCAGAAAGATGGATGGAAAGTTGTTTCCCAAAATAGATATACCGGAGTTCCGGAAACTTTTGGATCATCCTTAGTAAAACAACCAAACCAAAATATTTAGTTTATGCGAATGTTTTATAGAAAAGTTAGTCTTGATCGCATATGATGCGTTGTGAGAGTTTTCCCGGAAACTCAATTAAACATCAACGGAGGAGATATAGGAGATATTGATTAACTAGTGCAGACAATCTTTAAATAATGCTTGACTTCTAATTGCGATTCATTTAGATATATTCATGCAACTTACCGATCCTTGCTTGAAAAGATCAACCATAATAAGTAAGTAACTGTTTACTACATCTCCTATATCTCTATATCTACTACATCTCCTATATCTCTATATCTCCTTCGTCGATGTTTAACTGAGTTTCCGAAGAAACTCTCCGAAGACATCTAATCCTTGATCGACTTGTCAGCACTATCTATTTACTATCAAGAAGATAGCGATTCATTGTCTCATAAATATCTACACTACATTATACTGCTTCAAATCTGAGCATTTTTTCATGCTACATGCCAAAAGACATCACATAAACGGATGACAAAAATGAGTTATTTTAAAATATTGTATGTCATCTATTTACTGGATGTATATAATCTGATATGAATGAAAAAGGTCAACATTTACCAGTCTTTAACGTCTGGCTTTTGGCAGTATAATATTTTCTGTCATTCACTGATATTAAGTGATACGAAATTTAACTTGTCATATAATACGTGAATTTTGATTCTCTACAAAATTGTAAAAAAATATTGTAAAACAAAATTTTCGTTGGATGCTCTGAATGTTCAAGGTTATCAAACTGTTTCAATTTAAGTGCCATGTTATTTAATTGAGTGTTGTCATTAGCGAACAGTTAAGAAATTATTTGAGTGAAGTAAGACGACAATTAGTGGATGTATATGTTGTGGCCGAAGTTAGAATTCAGCCCAATTCTAAATTCGTCCAGACGAAGTTGGAATTCTAATTTCATCTAGTCCAAATTAGAATTCTAATTTCGACTAGACCAAATTGGAATCATTTTTTAATGAATAGAAAAAAGTAAAATCTTGATAACCATTGAGAACCAATTTAAGTTTGTCTGTCTCTTGATTGTTTCTTTCTTCTTTTCTAATCTAGTTAAACAAAGCGGGCGAACAAATGAGAAGAGAATATTCTAGTGAGAAGTGATTGCGGAAACAAACAGTATATATACAGATAGTCGCACATAAGATCGTAAAAAATGGCGAAGAATTCAACAAGTGTTGAAGGTGATAATAATGAAAAGATCTTTTACGAGAAAGTAGATGAATATATTTATTCATTACACAAAAATTATCGTAAAAAATGTGCTATTAAACAACAAGTGTATAATGATATCCTAAAATGTTTGCTGTTACCAAAAGGAACATCATCTAATCTATATTCATCGAAATTTGTTTACTGGACAAAATGTCATTTTAATTTAGTTAAAATTGCTGGAATTGATATTGTTTTTTGTGTTAAGTTAAAAAAACCAGTGTGTATTTACGAAACATTTTATACTGTCATATCTGAAGCACATATTGCTGTTTCACATGGTGGTCATGAAAAGACCTATTTTGAAATAACTTCTCAATATCCATGGATTCCCCGATCTTGTATTGAAATATTTTTAAAACAATGTATTCCATGTCAAACCAGAAAACCAATTAAACATCATATCGTTTCGAAACCAATAATTTCCTTAGGTGTGATGACACACGTCCAGATTGACCTTATAGATATGCTTACCGACCTGAAAAAATATTACCTGATATTGTTTATTGTTGGATATTAAATTGTATTGATCATTTCAGGAGGAAGGTCGAGACATCCACAAAGCCAAGGATGTATCGAAAGAGAAAATGGAGTTTTGTCCGATGCTCTCAGCAAATATGTGTGTACCAACAATTCATCTAGTTGGTCTGATGCTTTATTACCTGTTGTTTACGGTATAAATACAAGAAAGTCCACTGTAACCAAAACCATTCCATATGAAGTCATGTTTGGACAACCACCACGTTCAGATTCGGATTTTTGGAAGTTAGTTCAGCAAGGTGGTATTGAAGATGAAAAAGATCTTCCTACTCCAGTGGGTGAGTCAAATGATGATTTAGTAGATGATACACTTGATAATCCAATTAATTTCGACGAACGTATTGATTTTGAAGTTATTGATCTTCTTAACCAATTATCTGATAATGTTACCTCTTGTTCAACAATTGATACATCATCAAAATTAATTAATACACCATCAAGATCATCATTAGCTGTAGCAACAACATCATACAAACATAGTACAATTCGAAAAATTGCTACCTATCATTTCTCTCAAATGCTAATAAGAAAATGAAATTACATCAAAACAGTTTGAATGTCATAGCAAATAATTTTAATTTAAATGATTGTGTTGGAATAGCAATACATCCAGTTGATCGAACAAACACCGATCCAAAATATTTGCCATGTCTTATTATCGAAAAAACTGAAAAAAATAATCTTTTTTTATATAAATTAACATGCCAATATGGTGTTCTGGAGAACATATTCGAAGTTGGACAATTTGTGAATTTGAAAGATGCTTGTCCCGATGAATTGAAACAAATAGATGTTGGTTATTTAAAATCCATCACTCTTATTGAAGCATCAAAACTTTATTCTCGTGGCTCTACAACTGGACACACATGTAACTGTCGTGGCAAATGTGCAAATAAAACGTGTCCATGTAAGAAACAAAATGTGTTCTGCTCTACCAAATGCCGTTCAAAGAGAGGTGCATGTTCAAACATGGATTAGATTAGTTTACGACTTATATAATATTTGTTAAAAATTTTTGTAAAATAAAAAAATTGAGGGTACTTTAATTATTGGTCTTTCTTTACTTTTTTCTATTCATTAAAAAATTATTCCAATTTGGTCTAGTCCAAATTAGAATTCCAATTTGGTCTAGACGAAATTAGAATTCCAACTTCGTCTGGACGAATTTAGAATTGGGCTGAATTCTAAGTTCGGCCACAACATATATATGCGAAACAATAATGCCACTAAAATTGGGCTCTGACATGCTTCAACAGAAATTCTAATGAATATTGATTCAACATCAGTGTGTGACAGAGACCGAAGACGAGTCGAGTACTCGACAAATCGACTCGACTCGACTCGACTCGACTAAATGCCGAGTCGAGTCGAGTCGAGTTAAAGATTTTGCGAGATGTGTCGAGTCGAGTCGAGTCGAGTCTGCTCTCTTTGACT